TGACTCAAATGGCCCTTGATATTCTTTTGAGAAACGGTACTTAACTTGGTCCAAAAGACGAAGAAGTTCATTAGTAGAGCAAAGAAGGTTAGTAAGCATATGACCAATATCCATAAGCCATCATTCAAGCCTTTTACAATATGATGCCAGAAGACTACTAGCTTTACCTTCATTTTTTCTTTCATCGATCCCACTTGAAGACTTAACATACATCTAAACCAAATAACTTCTGATGGAAGCAGGAATAGATATTAACTCATTTGTCCAAATTACAACCCACCAGAACAATTGAGTATAGAACATGAATTCAATCAAACTTACTTCAAAAAGTAAGAGAGCACATCCAAAAACCTTAGGCATACCAGTTTGAAAATGTTGAGAACCAGCTTGGCGGTGATGGGAGAGGAAAAATCAAATCAGATTAGGTCAAACATATTCAAAAAGACAATAGAAGTCTTTAGAATTCCGAAACCCATGTGCATTGGTCAACGGTGGGAATCATGTTTGCTTTCCAGTAAGTTTTCGACGTCGACTTTTCAGCAAAGGATTCATTTGGAGGTGTTGGTCACAAATCTAGTGTCAGTGTTATTCATGGTGGTCACGAATGAGGTGATTTCACTATTACAGCAATGTACGATGGTTGTCTGACAACTTTGGAGGCTAAGATCTAGTGGAGGCACTGATCAAATCCTTCTGTATCCAATGGAATGGGTTGTGTTGACCATCCTTAGGTGGGAAGAGATCAATTGAAGCCAAGGGTTGTTGGGATTTAGGCTTTCCTTTTGGTTTATGAAGAAGAACGAGAAACCAGGGTTTTATGCAAGAAGCAAAGGCTACATTCTCGGAAGGAGGATAAGTAAATTAAGGCAATGTGATGAACCAAATATTATTCTGATACTAATCAATATAAAACAAAAAGAGCTTGAACACAATACTTAGAGAAAATTTACTAAAACCAAAAACTAGATATCTTGCATCTCGATAACTCAATATTTGACTAACAATCATCTGAATAGCCCACCTAATAATTAAGCCAGAGCATCCTATTTACAATTACATAAATCTATCTTATTATTGAGATATGTCAATTTAGTATATTCTTGTTTGGCATCACTTTAATCTTAGTGTTGTGCCACGCATGGCATCGAGGCATAACCCAATCAGAACTACAAGGCAGCCCATAGTAAAGACTCAGGCATGACGTGATCCAGCATTTCCTGGGCATAACCAAACTCACGTGTCACATCTAGGGCACAACCAAAGGCATGGTCTAACTTCTGAAGTACATTTGGCTTCGACTATCTTAGGCATCAGAAATCTATTAAAGAAAGTAGCTTATAAATAAATGTCCACCAAATGAAATATAAACATTTTAAAAAAATAACTACTGACTTTCTTGTCATATTGAGTCCCTCAAGCACAAAATGCAAAGGAACAAAAAAGAAAAAAAAAATTCTCACATGCCGTTCTTGTACTATCCTATTTTGTATTGTATTACCACCAAACAACACTGAAAAGAATAAAGATATCGGGTCAGAAGTTTTGACCCTCCAAATCAATTTACATTGGAAGATTGCTCCAGTGCTTGTCCCAGGTGCATAAGACCCTCAGATGGATTTGGATAAACCATGTTGGAAATTTAATCAAAAAATAATTTTTTGGTCAAGTCGTACTACAATCATTGACGGCTAGTGGCATTATTATTGAACACTTCCTAGGAGAACTGTTTGGAGGGTCAAAGCTTCTCATAGAATTACCTTCTTTTCTTGGGAGGCGGCGCGTGGATGCATCCTCACTACTGATAATTTGATCAAGAGTGGGAAAGACCATTGTGAATGGATGCTATTCATGCAAAACAGCAGCAGAATCAATCAACCACCTTCTCTTGTGGTGTTTTGCTTATAGCCTCTTGGGGCTGAACAGGGTCATGGCTGATTTGGTAAAAGAAGAGATTTGGGTTGGAAGGGCATTCGTGTGGATAAGAATTGTAACAAGAATCTTAGTCTTATCCCTTTGGCTACCCTATAGGTAATATGGAAAGAAAGGAATAGAAAAACTTTTGAGGACATAAAAGGTCTTTTGATGGATTGAAAAATTCTTGGTTTAGATCTATCTTTTTTTTATTCAGGTTATCCCCTCTATTCTTGCAAGATTTATTGGACTTGATTGACTTGCTGAATAGACTTGTAAAGCTTTTTGTATACGGGTTGCATCCTCTTAGTCCTTTTAGTACCATACTTTATATTTCAAAAAAAAAAGGAAAGACAAAAGATATATCTACCAAGAAGGGACTAAAAGCCTTAAGCTACTCAAGAGACAATCATCTAGTTGTCCAGCAGGCCAACCCATCAATTTGCAAATCAACACCTCCAAGTTGAAGAGATATAGATTTTCTAGGTGATTACCAGCAGCTTTGACACCATAGTAATAGTGAACAGTTAAGTATACCTCATTCTCTGCACCCTCATCATCTTTATAACCCATCTTAAGCAAAATGTCATGAACAGCAGTGAGATCCATCTTTGCACAGGCTTTTCCAAGGGGAGAAAGCATTGTGGGCGGGACTACTGTATTTTTAGGCAAACCCATCAAAACAGAGGATGCCAGCTAAACAAACAGACAGCAGAAAGCATTAGCTTAACCTGACATAAACAAAAAATTCACAGGAAAAGGTAAATCATTAAGAGAGCTTAGCATTTTCATGGTTAAATGATAGCATCAAGAGTCACCTCTTTCTGTTTCGGCAGAGGTGCAACTGCATTGAGAAGAAACTTTGTGTCAGGTCGATCCCGAGCCTCTGACTGAAGACATTTGGAAGCTAGTTCAACCAACTTGGTAGCATCTTCATTAGCATACTGTCCTTCCAATGATGAATCCATTAATAGCAGGACATTTTTCCCTCTTATTAGATCAAGAGCCTGAAGATAGTATCACCCATTAAGACAATATTTGGTCGGAAGGCCAGAAAGCAATGAGCATGCAGTTTAGATCTAGTGTCATTAAGACATTGTGTTTATTGTCGACAGCTTTAAAGTATTCTTAAGCAGGCCATGAAGCCCAATGAGATTAGAAAGTGATATTCCTGAAGTATTACAAGGCTTAAGCAAGGATTATTCCCATTTCTTTTTGTGTTGGCCCACCCCCGGGGAGTGAAAACATTCACAAGACACTGAAACCATATAGAAGCTTCACATCCCGGGAACAGTTTCACATGTAATACAGCATCTACACCCATGCAGCACAGATAATGTGATGCATAGTTTTAATGATGTAACATTATGGTTCATGAATTTCAGTGAACAAAAAATCTTTTCGCAACATATCAGGAACAATTTTAAGGTTGGTTTTGATTCAATTCTCATTTAGTTCCTGCCTGATTCCTAACTATGGTCTTCATACTAGTCTTGACACATAGAACTAGGACATGGCTTATATGTTTAATCTCACCCCTATCCCCAATTTGAATTCCTAGGAATAGGAATTATATAAATCAAAATGGGAATTATCGCCTACAAGGACTTTATATGTGGGGGAGGGGTGAAACCGAACATAAAACAGGTTTTATATTTACATGTTAGGAGTAATATGGAAATTAGAAATGGGAAATTAAAGTGGGGATGGGAATTTGGAATTAAACCAGAGGGCAGCATAGAAATTTAAGATAATTTTAAGGAAACATACATGGCCTTGGGAGGAATTTGGCTTCCCACTTCAACAGATTCCCAAAAGAAACTGGACCCGTAAC